CATGGAACGAATCGCATAATTGGAAACTCGTAATAACCTGCAACGACAGCAGAATTTTCGGACAATACGGGAGGAAAATAATAGGGGAATGCGAGACCTGGAACAACGTTTAACACAGCTGACTGGACCAGGAGCAACAGAAATTGAAGGCTAACCTGCTAATGGCCGAGAAGGAACTCGAAACCTGATTCTGCCGAACGGGGTTCCCCATGCGGAAAATAATGAAAGCCCCAACCCCGTGAATGCAACAAACCCGAACCAGGGAAACCAGGCTGTTGATGGCCAAAATTCTCAAAACCATCTGGCACGAGCTAACAGCCAGGAGGACCGGGTTAGGACTCATCCTGACCAGAATGCTCAAAACATCCGAGGACGAGTGGAACCCGGCGAATACAGAAGGAAGTACAGCAGGGGGCAGTATAACAACAGCCCTTTTACTGGTGAAATACTAAACGCTGCCTTCCCGGAGGACTTTGACTCAGCACGCTTGCCAAAGTACGATGGGAGCCAAGACCCACAGGTCCATATAGACGATTTCGACATGGACATGTAAATCCGAGGAATTGACGAACCCCTCATATCTCGGATATTCGCCATAACACTGACTGAGGCAGCACAGGTGTGGTTTTCAACTCTTCCTGCTAATTCCATAGGATCATTCGAGGAATTCGAACAGAAATTCCTCTTAAACTTTGCAACCAGCAAAAAGCATCCCAAATCCGAGTTCGCTCTCGAAAAGATACGACAACAACCCGGAGAAACCCTCCAGAAATATCTTAATCGGTTCAAAGACGCTGCATTGCAGGTCCCCGGGTTGCAAGAGAATGTTCACGTACACCTCATTGTGGCTGGTTTGGATGGCGCTTCCAGGCTAGCCAAGTCGGTCTACAAGGACCCGGTGAGGACATTGGAGGAATTCAGAACTCATTCGAAGAAATATCTCGAACTGGAGCAAATAGAGATTGCAAATGCGCAATCTGAAGAGGGCAAAAAAGTAAGCCCGAGAAGGAGGAGCTCGGCCTTAAAGGGGAAAGAACGGGCGGAATATAAGAAAAATGACCCACGCGCCAGAGTCCCGGACATGAGGGATCGGGTTGGAAGATATGACAAGTATAAACCGTTGAATGCGTCGCGCTCTCAAATCTGGAGGGAAGTAGCAATGACGGAAATGAAGAAGGTGGACAGACCAGGGCCTATATTTGACAGAGGAGGTTTGGACAAGTCCAAATACTGTGCCTTCCAAGATGGGCCGGGTCACAGAACTGATCAATGCTGGGATCTCCGATATGCGGTGGAGAAATTTGTGAGAGATGGATGATTGCGTCAATACGTGATCAAAACCCAAGGGTCCTAAAACAACAAAAGGAAGTCGGGATACAGAAAGAGAAGTAAAAGTCCAGTTCCTGAAAAGAAGAACAAGGATGAAAGGGACCGCAAAGATGATCCCAACTTCGATGAGTTCCCAGAAGCGAAATTTGATTGCAACGTAATAAGTGGAGCCCTTAGAAGAGGAGGTGACACTATAAGCGCAAGAAGGAAGTACTTGAAGGAGGTCCTTTCAATTCGGGACCGTCCTAAATTCAAGGAAGACCCAAGCAAACCAGATCCTCCTTTGCTGTATTTTACAAAGGAGGACATGCATGGCGTGTTGCCGGGGCATGTTGACGGATTAGTCATCGCTGAAACCCTGGTAAACTGCCGAGTTAAGAAGATCTTTGTTGATGCAGGGAGTAGTGCCGACATCATACTATGTGACACTTTCAAAAAGATGAACCTGGATGAGGAGGACCTCAAACCTTGCAAAACAACATTGATAGCTTTTATTGGAGAGCATACACCTCCTAAAGGCTATATAGATCTCCTGTTGACCCTGGGAACCAAAGAAGCGTTCAAATCAGAATGGGTGAGATTTATAGTGGCTGACTTCCCATCAGAATATAACGTAATTCTTGGAAGGCCAACTATACACCAGTGAGACATGTTGGTATCCACGAAGCATCAAAAGATAAAAATGTTAAGCAGTAAGGGTGAAATAATTACTGTTTGTGGAGATCAAAAAGAGTCCAAAGGATGTTATTTCGATACCGTCAAAGATAATGAGGATGGACATACAGGTCCACCCCGAATTCATGCAAGGGATAAACAAGGCAAGAACACAACCCAGCACCATTCCAAGAAGCCCGTCAATGTGGTTGAACTCGATGTGAGAGAAGAAATAATACCGAGACCCGAACCTGATGGAGAGCTAGAAAACCTCACATTTGGAGAAGAATCCGGTCAGTTTACCCGAATTGGTAAGACCATAGATCCCCAAATTAAGGGGGAATTGGCCTATTTCCTCAAGAGCAACACGGATGTGTTTGCTTGGAATTCGTCCGACATCCCGGGCATCGATCCCGCCTTCTGCTGCCACAAGCTGGCAGTTTATCCGGGATCCTCGCCGGTTTCCCAGAAGAAAAGAAAGCTGGGACCAGAAAGGAAGCAAGTTCTACAAGAACACATTCAAGAGCTTTTGCATGCTGGGTTTATTCGGGAGATACAGTACACGACATGGCTTGCGAATGTAGTAATGGTGAAAAAACCAAATGGAAAATGGAGGGTCTGTACTGACTACACATACTTAAACAAGGTCTGCCCAAAGGATTCTTATCCTATGCCTAACATAGATCAGCTGGTAGATAACTCGGCTGGATTCCGTTTGCTGTCCTTCATGGATGCCTACTCGGGATACAACCAGATTCCAATGTACTCAGGGGATCAGGAGAAAACAGTCTTTATTGCTGAAAAGGTCAATTATTGCTACAATGTGATGCCATTCAGACTCAAAAATTCAGGGGCAACCTATCAGCGAATGATGAACAAGGTCTTTGAAGATCAGCTGGGCAAGAATGTAGAAGTATACATTGACGATATGATTGTAAAGTCATTTGATATGACCAATCATGTTTAGGATCTTGAACAGACATTTGAGAAGCTCAAGAAGTACCGTATTTGCCTTAACCCGGTGAAATGTGCATTTGGAGTACCAGCTGGGAAATTCCTGGGATTCATGCTAACCCATAGAGGAATTGAAGCGAACTCTGACAAATGCAAGGCAGTACTTGATATGAAAGTACCCCAAAACAAAAAGAAGGTTCAGCAGTTAACCGGTCGATTAGCTGCACTAACCTAGTTCCTATCGAAGTTTGCTGAAAATGCCCTCCCATTCTTTAAACTATTAAAGAAGGAAGCAATTGAAGGATGGAACCCGGCGTGTCAGGCCGCGTTCGAAAAAGTCAAGAAATGCTTAGCAATTCCCCTAGTGCTCTCAAAGCCAAACCCAGGAGACATTATAATCCTGTATCTGGCTGTGGGGGATGAGGCAATAAGTGTTGTTCTGATCAAAGAAACTAATGAAGGCCAAGAGCTGATTTATTTTGTCAGTAGAGCTTTACAAGGTGCAGAGGTCACATATCAAAAGCTAGAAAAGGTGTCCTTTGCTTTGGTGGTCACGGCCAGGAGGTTACGACCATACTTTCAGGGGCATCAAATAATTGTCAGGACCAATAAGCCTATACGGCAGGTGTTGCATAAGCCGGACCTGGCAGGAAGAATGACCAACTGGGCAATTGAACTCAGTGAATACGACATAGCATATGAAATTCGGAAAGCCATAAAGTCACAAGCTCTGGCTGACTTCATAATGGAACTGACGCCTGTAAACTCGGAACACGAGGAATCCGGTGATACATGGAAGGTCTATGTAGATGGATCCTCCAATAATAAAGGAAGTGGGGTTGGCATCATATAGAAAGCCCAGAAGGAGTAACAATTGAACATTCCTTGATTTTGGGATTCTCAACTTCAAATAATCAAGCCGAATATGAAGCTCTGATAGTCGGGTTAATGCAGGCTAAAGAACATGGAGCTAAAAAGGTTCAAATCTTCAGTGACTCACAACTGGTAACTTCACAGATAGAAGGAAAGTACCAGGATAAAGGTCCTTTGCTAATGGAGTACTTAAGTAGAGTGCAAGAAATGATGGCCGACTTTGATGAGGTGCGGGTTACTCACATCCCTCGAGGGGACAATAACTGATCTGACATCTTGTCAAAGTTAGCAATCACCAAAAGTCCGGGTAACCACAGAACTGTGGTTCAACAAAGCATAACAATGCCGAGTTGCGTGATGGTGATAACCTCGGCACATGACTGGAAGAAACATAGTAGATTACCTGGAGAAAGGAATATTGCCAGAAGATAATCTGGAAGCTAAAAAGTTGGTCCGAGATGCGGCGCAATACACAATTGTGAATGACCAGCTATTTAGAAAGCGTTTGCACAACCCCATGCTAAAATGCTTGAGCTCGAACGGAGAAGAATACGTCCTCGCCGAGATCCATGAAGAAATCAACGGCCATCACATGGGAGGAAAAGCCTTGGCCAGAAAGGCCCTTAGAGCTGGTTACTACTGCCAACAATGGGGGCAGACTCTAAAGAACACGTCAAGAAATGTGACAGCTGCCAGAAGCATGCCAAGTTAATCCTCTCACCACTGAAGAGCTGAAAGGCATCTCTGCTCCATGGCCTTTCTTCAAATGAGGAGTGGATTTACTGGGACCCTTCAAAGCTGCTGAGGGGCAACTCAAGTGGCTGATCGTGGCTGTGGATTATTTCACAAAGTGGATAGAAGCAGAACCAGTTACCACAATCACCTCGGCTAGAATGCAAAGGTTTTTTGACCGGAACATTGTTTCTAGATTCGGAATCCTAGCCGAGGTGATCACTGATAATGGAACACAGTTTGCTGACAAGAGATTCCAGCATCTAATGAAAGACCTACAAGTCACACATCGATTCGCATCTGTGGAACACCCACAATCGAATGGGCAAGCCGAAGCAGCCAACAAAGTGATTGTGAATGGTCTCAAAAAGCGAATGTTTGATGCTGAAGAAAGCTGGGTTCAACAGCTATACTTTGTCCTTTGGGGTTATAGAACAAGTACCCAAACTGCAACAGAGGTAACCCCTTACAGACTAACGTATGGATGTGAAGCCATGATTCCGGTGGAGGTTGGAGAACCCTCTTGGAGAAGACTGAACAGTCTTGAACAAGGCGAACAACAAAACAGTAAAATGCTTACTGAAGAGTCAGATCTTGTGGACGAAGCTAGGGTTACAGCTCACTGCCGGAATATGATGACTAAACAACAAAAAGCGACAAAGTATAATAAGAAAGTGAGACCAAGAATCTTTGAGAAAAATGGCTTGGTACTCAGGAGAGCAGATATTGACAGTAAAAATGCCAGAGATGGAAAGCTCACTGCAAACTGGGAAGACCCGTATCGGGTTAAGGAGAAGCTCGGAAAAAGAGATTACATCTTAGAAACAATAGAAGGCAAAGGAATCAAGAGAATCTGGAATGCGGATAAGCTGAAGATATATTACAGTTAAATCTGGGATCCACCTTCACCCATTTGCAGTACTATTCAGTTATATTTTCCTCAATTAGAGATTTAATTAAAGCTGAATATGCCGACAAATTCATGTAATTCGCAATTTGATATCAATAAATGAGGAATTTTTCTTTTTAAAAGATCTATCCTTGTCTATTTTTGATGTATCAATATCCAATCCGAGGTACAAATGCAATTTGCCATAACGACTCTGATTAGGTCAAAATGTTCCCGTTTTGGTCACGATACCAAAAGGGACAAATAACATTATTGTTTTTACCTTAGATAAAATTGAATTATGAAGTTCAAATTCAATTAAATGGATAAGTCAACAAAGACGAGATCAATTATTTATACAGGCTTACCAGAACGAGTAAGCCAAACAAACATGCGTCATCGAGAATGACATAAAGCGGAATCTGTACAATGCTTTGACCTCGGTCAGGTCATCAATAACGAACTCGTACGATGCACGAGTTTAGTAAACTCAACTGAGTCGATGCGGTGTAAGATACTCAAGAAAAACAAATATGAAACTCGAAAGATGCGCGGGTTAGATACAGGCATTACAGTCGGAATTGCAACTAGTAAAATTGGAGTTGAACTTGGATAAGATTTCTTACATGACATGGAAAAAACCAGGTCTTGAAAGGAAAGCTAACCAGGTTTCGCGATCCGAGAAGTACACTGAGGTAAAACTCGGACAACTTGGATAAAATTTCTTACATAACCTGGAAAAAACTAGATCTCGAAAGGAAAGCTAACCAGGTTTCGCGATCCGAGTAGTACACCGAGGCGGAACTCGGAGAAGGGTTAACGTATAAGCAAAAAAGACAAGCTATACACTTAGACAATGCACACATGAGCTAGAATTTTGATAAAAG